GATAAAGTTCTTGTTCCAAATCGTTTCACTCAAAACATTTGGAAATAATTAATCTGCCAGCGGAGATTAAAACAAACATCATTAAAACAAACGTCATTAAAACAAACGTCATTAAAACAAACGTCTGCATGTTGCTGAAGAGATTCCTGCAAGTGAGTTTTGACTTCTTTAAGTGTAATAAGATGTTTGGACTAAAAATACTAAAAACATTCAACCAGAACCAGAACAAGTGCAGACGGAACCAAACCAGAACCGACCAGCAGGGAAACGGGCCGGTTCTTCAGCGCTGAGCTCAGAATCACAGATTCATATGGACATCAATATTCTGTTTCTGCTTGTTTTTTTCAGAGTAATGTTGTTTTTATGGACGTGTTTTAACTGGGAACAAGAAAATCTGATTATCTGGAAACACAAGAACCCGTTTCCTTGTTATTTCTGTTTATCGTGTTTTAACCGTTTTCTTAGTTTCTTTTCTGTAAGCTGCTGTTCTTGGCCAAGTCTCTGATGTGAAAACTGGTTATTATAGATGAGAAAGTTTCTTGTTTTAACGAGAAATCTGTCCTGGATCCATTCCAGCTCTGGCTGTTAAACCATCGCCAGGTTTTTGTTCCTCCAATCTGTTTTCGACTCATTTAGATGCTGTTTTTTCCTGATGCATCTTGTTTTTATTTTTATAGAACTAAAACTCTTTTCCTGCAGCGTCTTTAGTTTATTTCTGTGATCTGCGCATGAAGTTGGATCTGGAGTCGTTAATAAAGTCACATGATCCTGTTTGCATTTTTCCACACTTAGTTTTCCAGATGTAATAAAAACTTCAGGCTTTTTTTATTAAAATGAGTTAAAACCACATGAAACATGAAGAAAATGTTTCGTAAGGAAAAAGTTTGAAGACTTTCTGAATATTCATCTTCAGAATCAATACACAATCAGCCAGGTCAAAGGTCAGGTCAGGCCCTTCAGGCCTCGGTCCTACATCCTGATTGGCCGATTGAAGCTCAGTGACTTCCTGTGTGGAAGCGCTCGTCTTCCCGTGTTTCCATGAGTCCAGCTGCCATATTTCCTGCAGTTTTCCGATTCGTCCTCCATCACAGCCTGACGAACGTTTGCTCCTGTAAATCTGCCCCATCGATCCGACACGACTCGAGTCTGCAGCGAGGCGATCAATCTGCTGCCGCGCTGAAGGCTCGTCGATGGAGCGCCGCTCTGCTCGCTGATTTTCAGCACAAACTGAGATGAGGATGTTGATGAAGGAATTACAAACCGTGCAGCTGCTTTTGTTTCCCTCCTGCTGTAAATGTTTGACACCAAATGGTTCCTTCACATCTGAAGGGCGGAGGAACCGCAGAGCGCTCCTCAGCTCTCCTGTGAAAGACATGATGAACCAAAGACAGAAATGAAGCCACCAGAATTATTCATTAAAATATCCAAACTAAATAAAGTTTTTAAGAAAACTAATTGTCAGACCAGAATCAAAGGTGTTGTTTAGTTAAATGAACTGTGTTTCGGCTGTTTTGTAGTTTTCTGAAAGTTTGTTCCAGATTTATGGTGCATAGAAGCTGAATGGTGCTTGGAGTCCAAACGGTTCAGTAAATCTGTCATTAACTTGGTTTTATGTTTAGATTTGTCCCTCTTTGCTTTCCATATCTAATTATTCAGTTTTAAATATTCCTGAAGCTTCTGGTTCTGTTCTGGAATATTTCTGTCTGTTACCAAAAGTTAAAATTCATCTTTATTTCTCATGTGTTGCTTTTCCAGTTTTCTAGTTTCTTCGTAGCGTTTCGTTTTGAATCTGATAAATTCTCCTGCTGGTCTCTGGGTTTTGGTTCCTCCAGCTGATGTTCATCCTGCTGATCAGACCAACCTGTTTTCTCTCCTCCATATTTACGCCTCCCAGGTGGCTTTGCTCCGGTTTCACGGTTCTGGTGGTATCTGTCAGCTTTACCCTCACCTGGCTGACGTTTACTTCTGTCCTAAAGCCTTTTGGTTGTTGCAGCGAAGCAGCTGAGCTCTTCAGGCCTTCAGGCCTCTGAATGACATTTGATTAATCAGATTAGCAGCTTGTTTAAGTCAATGGGTGCAAAGTAAACATAATTATTAAATCAAATATTCAGTCGTTGCAGAGACTGGAGAAGAACAGAGACAGAAATCCAGTAAATTTGTTGAAGAAGTACATTTTGTTCTGGTTCCGTCCAATCAGGCGAGTCGGAGGAAAAGTTTCACCGAGTCTCAATAATAAAGTTGCAGCTTATGTTGTTGAACGAATCAGGAGAAATATTAAAGTCGTTCTGCTTTAGGTCAACTGAACTGAACAAAACTTCATTAGAAACATGAAACTGTATGAAAATCATGTTCTATGTCTCTGAACATGAAGAATAAAAGATGAAAACCAATCTGATCTAATTTTAGGCTAGTTGTTTGTAACCAGTTGGATTCTGCGCCTTGCAGACCAGGAACAATCGTTTTTCAAACCTGGTTACAAAGTGGATAAATGTTCAACTTTGGTTTCATGTTTCTTTTGGCGCAGCGTCTTTGTTTAAACAATGGTCCTCTAGTTTAGCTCCATCTCTCCCTCATATTCGTCTCATTCCCATGAATAACAAACATGGCGTCGTTCTGTGGTGGCGCTACAGCGCCATCGATTGGTCTGGCATGCTTACTGCAACACTTCCTCTGGTTCTGCATGCTGTGGCCTGAACTCATTTCTTCTTAATCGTTTACAAACATTGACTTTGAGTGTCTTTATTTCACAGGGCAGTAAAAACATACAAAGTCTAGATGCTAACCAGTTTATTATGCTAGGCTACATGATGGAGGGGCTTTTTCTTCATGGTTAATTAGACGCAGCCTTTCACCTTAATGCCAAACCACATTGTATCTTTACCTTCATGTTCTTAAAAAGTATATGAAGGTTAATCTTCCAACCTTGTAAAAACTGTTAGCTGCAAATTCACAGCCAGTCCTTATGACTGACGGTTACGATCGCCATCTTCCTCTTCCTCATTACAATAAACATTACAATAAATGACAAGTTTGGTTTGAGTTCTTGTCAGCCGACAGCGCAGTACCTTAAGACCATTTTACCGTGAAACCAGCTAAATAAAACCGATATTAGGAAACCAAATATCTGCTTTAGGAGTTAACGTACAAGCGCAGGTTGCTCTGTAGGATAGGTATAGCTACCTACAGTAGCTACCTACTATACGCAGGTTGCTCTGTAGGGTAAATTTAAAAAGAGACACCAGATCAAACCGGAGGACTCCCAGCTAATGCTAAGCTGTGTAACATTAAGGTTCTCTCTCAGCGCAGTTCGGCTCTGTGATCACAGTAAAGTAGCTCCAGGAAAGATCGCAGAGGATTGACACATTTCTGCGTAAAGATCCAAAATCTTCATCATACCAAACATAAAAACCATGAGCTCACATCCGGTGAGAACGGAGCTTCGGCCTGCAGGAAGCAGATCAAGAATACGAGTCAAGAAGGAAAAAATGCTGAAATCCCTGAGGGTGAAAGTCCCACATCCCAGCCCGGCTGCAGCGGAAGTTTGAAATGCCACTTTACGGAGACAACCACTTTCATTTAGAGCCCATCAATGTCTTTTTCAATATCCATTAGCGGCAGAGAGGCGAGGGATCAATGGTCTGATTAAAGACTCACAGAGACCCTCATGTGCTCCAGTCTCTGGAAGATCCGCTCAAGCAGCTGAAACGGCGGTTTGAGCGAGTCCGAGGAGTCGAGGAGAGGTTGTTAATGATGTGGCTCTGACCGCTCGGCTCAACGCCTCACTTTACTGAACAAAGGACATAATGAGCCAAATCACCAGCTTCATTGATCCGAAGGCATTTCCTCCTCCACATGACGAGCTTTTACCTTTCTGACAGTTTCTCGTTTCAGACATTTTCTCTCATTTTCAACATGTTTAACCAAACATTAGCAGCAAATTCATGAGAATTAAAACAATAACGGATCAGAATAAATCTGAAGAAAGTAGACAGAAATCAGTTTCAGATTTATTTTGAAAATTTAACATCTACAATCTCCTATGTCTCTTATTTCACATCTACCTGCTCCCACTTAGCTCAGGCGCTAACGTGTTAGCCGTGTCCGTCCTGCACAGCCGGTTCTGGTAGAAAACGGGGAGATATTTCTGTCTAACCAACATTCATATGAATGAGAAAGATGTTCAGTAAAACCTGGATGTTATTGCAGCAGAGCATCAAACTTTGAACATCCGTCCAGTTAGAAAAGCAGATCCAATGAGAATCTAAAACATGACGACAGCAGTTTTTATCGGGAGTTTCTGTTAAATGCAGGAAGCAACCCGAATCAGAAACATGAGTGGGGAAACGCTAAGAAAACAAGGAGGTTAGCTGGAGTTAAAATGAAAAATAAAATATTTTTTATGTTTCTTGGAGCAGCAGAGTCAGAAAAAGCTGAAACTAAAGCAGAAGCTCCAAGCAAACAAAGTGAACAGGAGTCCCAGATGAATCCAGGGAGCTGCCACCAGGACCTGCATTGTTTCATAAAGCAGCTCCATCATTAACGCGGCTCCACCCGAGGCCTGCAGCCGCGCCGCCGCCATCCCTCACTCTGTCCACAGTCATCGCCGCTCTTTATTTGCTGCCTTTATTTATCCGGCCGCCTCCTGTAAGCATTGTTTACCCTGCTGGCGCTGTCCTTGGACTTCCATACGTCTCGGAAATGGATAATACCTGCCACTATCTAATTTGCAGCATCCCGCCCCGTCCCCTCCGTGGTTCTGTTGGCTCTCGGAGCGCAGGCAGGTCCGTTTGGGTCCGTTTGGACCCAGAGATAACGGATATCTGACCCTGTCGCTGCGGATGAACGAGATTAGAGAAAACCAGCAGAGATACGCAGCAGGACCAGGAGAGGTCTCCACGGAAACGCAGTGTGTGTGTGTGTGTGTGTGTGTGTGTGTGTTTCTCCGGGCTATTAGCCAAACCAACAGATCAAACCGTTTATCAAAGAGAGTCTGGACTGACCACAGGGAGGAGTTTAGTTTATTAGTTTGCTTCAAACATGCCTGGAAAACAAACAGCAATAATCTGGCTTATTAAGACAGTCAGAAAAGAAAACATGGATCATTCTTCAAACTCGTATCTTCATGTTATTAACTCATTTACAAAATGTCAAAGTTTAAAAAATATTATTGGAAAAGGAAATATTTAGCTTCAAATATGCTAAATAAATATTTAACTAAATATTTAGTTAGCAGCTCAGAGCTAAATATTGATCTAATGTGCATGTTCACATGGTAGCGGAAGTGGACTATCAAAATAAAAGCTGTGTCTTGACTGAATGCTGATCTGTTGCTAAACGTCTGGATTGTCTTAAAAACAGAGTTTCCTCGTTTTCAGCTGAAATGTTGAACAAGAAAAGAAAAGATGATGAAGAGGAGACATGAAGCAGTTCGACAGCGGGAGATTATTAGGAGGGCTGGAAGACCAAGCTTTTATTTTGGTAGTACACTTCCTGTTATTGGCAAGTGAATTTAGATATTAGCTAAATATTTAGTTAGCAAGCCAAATAGCTTGACATTTATAAATGACTGAATAAGCAGGTGGAAATATGACTTTGAGAAATGAGCTCCTCCTTTTCTCTTCTGCTAAATAAGAGCAGAAGTTAATTTTTCACTCTGTAGCTTTGCAGTGTTTCCCTCCAGTCTCTGTAATGGGAAAGAAATGAGTATAAATAAAAACCAAAGCTGTCGTCGTCTCATCATGGTGGATCCGTCTGCAGTCGTTTGTTTGGTTTTAAACTTCTATTAAAAATATTCAGTTTCTTTTCTTTTAAACTGGGTGATATTTGGTCATCCCTGTTTTTCAGTTTCCCTCCTCAGACAGAAAAACTAAATATTTTAACAGTTTGAGGATCTCAGATCATTCTTCTTCTGGGTTTATTGCCACCATCCCAGTCTGAAAATATCTTTTGCAGATTTACAGGCAGCAGACATTTTTGTTGTCTGCAAATAAAACGGATTCATTTTGTTGGATAGGTGCAGTGTGAATAATTCAGGGCCCCACAGTGGCCCCTGAGGGGCCTCATCTGCAGATTACTGCCTGTTTCTGAGCCAGATCTTCATCCAGTTTCCTCATCACATCATTCAGATCCAACTGATGGAACAGCGACTGGATCAGTATAATTAGTTATTCCTTCAACCAGATCAATTAATGACGTCGCTGTTGATCCTCACCTGGCTTCCTGCTGTGTGCATCAATAGATCTGCCTCACCTGGCAGTGAACAGCAAACAGGAACATCCTGTCACTGTGAACTGCTGTCAGATTCTCCAGGTGAAAAGCAAAACTTCAGGCTCTAAGCTGCAGGTCTATGGAGATGGATGGAAACATGTTGGAATATTGAAGAATGTGGGTAAATAATTTACTGTGTGTGTGTGTGTGTGTGTGTGTGTGTGTGTCCTGAATAATGCATGGTTTCCATCAGATATATGAACTATTTAATCATGAGCTGTATTCTTTAACACAAACAGCTTTGTAGGTTTTTATTTTGGTTTTTAAAACGGATTTCTCTGTGCTGGTGAGGCAGAAAGCTGAGAAAATGGCTGCCCATACCTGTTGTCTTCTCTTCCTGCATCGACCATCAGGAACTCCAGTTTACCTGGAACACCTGGAGAACCGACCGACCAGCCGCTACAGCCTCAAACACAAGCATCTTTTTATTTCTACAGATGCTGAAATATTAATGGTGTGTGTTTTATTTACGCTGTTTGTGTCAAACTCCAGTTTTCCTTCTGGTCCTTGTCCTGCTGAAGAGTTTCCCGCCGCGGCGGCCGCTGACGTCACGCTTCAGTCGGCATTCCTGATGAGCGGCGCAGCTTCCGGTCGGTTTCCTCTGCTTTCCTTCACGTCCAAACGTCTCCACAATCCGCTTTACTTCTCTGAACGACGCAGTGACAGCTGGATGCCGGCCGGCGACGCTAGCAGTAAGAGCTGCTGCCACAATGGAGACGAAGACGTGAGGGGTCCAAATGGTTCCGACCGGCCCAAAACCAGCCAGTCACAAAGGACAGTCCATAAATCTGTTTACAAGCAGGCAGGCAGTAAATCATCATCAAATATGTTGGTCAATGTTTCATTTATTATGGTTTAAAACCAACAGAAAGTCTAGAATTAAAGAAACTCAGTATGTAGCAGGTTATTATTTGTTTTGTTATTTTTTATTTGAACCTGTTTGAAGTGAGTATTTCCTATTGCCGTTGAACGCACCTGACGCAGCGTGGTCACGCAGCCTGATGCGTGCAGGTGGAGGCTATGCGCCGGGCTAGCAGGAGGTAAGACATGCTACTGTCGGGAAGACGTTTTTATGGGTTAACTCATCTTTCACAAGTTTTATATTTATATCTGTGTTTGAAGAGAAATGTCTGTTATTTGACCGTTTCATGTCATGTGAGCCGAAGTTGGATTTTATTTAAATTTACAAGTTAATACGAGTTCCTGTGTTACAGTTATGAAACTGTTATGTTGGCTTGATTTCACGCAGTTGTGGCGGGTTTTTCTGTTTGATTTGGGTATTTTTTCTTTATTTTGGATGTTTTTTCCTTGAAAAGTGAGACGTTGTGGGCCTGACTGCGTGGAGTGGCCACTGCCGTTTCTGTCGGACAAAATAAAAGACGGCAAACCCAAATCTGGCCTCTGCTCTCCACCTGCAGAAAGACACGGAGGTTGGACCGGTCACACATACAAGCTCAGTGCTGCTTGGTTCTGATGCGGAGCAGAACCAGAACCAACAGGTTGGTCCAGTGTAGAACCAGGTGGTGTAGAACCGGGTGGTGTAGAACCAGGAGGTGTAGAACCGGGTGGTGTAGAACCAGGTGGTGTAGAACCGGGTGGTGTCTCTACCCTCCTGGTTCTAGTCAGATCTCCAGCTGCAGCTTCTGGTCTCAGTCTGACCTGCTGCAGGAATCAGAGCCACTAAATCCTGGATGAGTTTCTCTGGTCGGAGACTTTAGTCCTCTGGGCCTGAATGTCCTGCAGCTGCTGGAAGGTCCACTGAGGAACCGGCTTCATGTGGCTCTGAGGTCAGAGGTCATCCTGATCTCTGGTTTCCAGCTGGAAGAACTGAAGCTGTGCATTGACTCTAGATCTATGACTCTAGATCGTTTCTGTTCAGATGGAGAAAGTTTTGGCACCACATGTTGATTTTATCAGCTGTTTTGGGGTTTGATTTATTGATCCTTTCTGTGATCAGACCAGCTTGATTCTTTGCTACCTTCAGTTCTTCGTAGTGATTCTAGTTTTAGCTTCGTTTCTTCCTTGTCGTTATAGTTTGTTACTCTTAGATTTATTTTCTGCGTTTCCTTATTTGCTGCCACACCTGCACCCTGTTTCTGTTCCTTGTTTAGACGTTTTTCTCTTCCACAGAAAATTAGCATTTAGAAATTACTCAGGGTGTCTTTGATATATGAACTTCTTTAATATGAAACATTTCAGAGATAAAAAGTAAAATAAATGAAATAATTTTATACGTGTCAGATTAGGATTAATTTCTGGGTTTTAAGTTTTTATCTAGTGGAGCGACTGTAAATGTTTTCCATCTGCACTGAAACCCGAGCAGCTGAAGAGCAAATATCCAGTAAAATATTCACTCGGTTGTAACGTCACTAAACCACCGGCTGTTCTGACAGCATCAGACTCAGAGTTAAACCTGCAGATCGTAACGGCTGATGAGGTCTTGGGCGTCTGACTTCTGGTTGATATAGAGTCAGTTTAACGCTCCTGCAGCCTCCCTGCAGCTAAACGTACGTCGATGTTTTCCTGTAATGGCCCAATTATCCTCCTGGCTTTTAGTGCAAAGTCAATGAGGAGTGACTGATGCAAAATTACCACAAAGTCTTCAGGGTGACTCCAAGAAAAAATCAGTTTCATTCTCTCAAACTGAGCATTGCTGTAAATCATCACATTCAGCTGCAGCCAGAAAAATGAAGCATTTTAATCTGTTTACTGAATAACTGACAGGGTTTACTGGGCGTTAAATGTTAATAAACCTGCCAGGTCCAGACACTTCCTGGTGTTTTTCATCTAAACTTTAACGACATCCAGACAAACTGGCTTCAGTTCTAACATTTACAAAGTAAATATTTAAATGTAAACAATCTAAACACGATTGGACAAAAACTGAATTCAGGGATTTTTCTCCTCCATTTGTTGGTGAGAAGCCGACAGTCGTCCGACGCTGACATGAATCCTCTCCCACAAACTAATGAGGGATTCTAGAAACCGAAGCAACCAGAAGAACGTCGTCACCTGAACGCATCGCGCTCGTCTCCAGAAAACAAAAACATGGATTTTAACCAACTGAATTCACACAAATCCAGAGGAAACATTAAAACTTTAGCTGGTAGCTTTTCATCATATTTCTGACACATTTGGGCCAAAATAAAAAATAAATCTTAATCGGACTTTAGAAGCTCATGAAATATGGATTTACTGTAGATCAATACAAAGATCTGGGTCTGCAGAGAAATGCAGTTAAAATTAAGACAAAATGAGCCTGAAATGCTAACCTCTAATTAATACAAGTTTAATTTAACAGAAATGGAGCTCAGACAGCAAATGTGTACCATAACACTGAAATCACTTCTTATACTTTTTATAATTGTGTTGTTTCCTGTTTGAATTTTTTGTATTATGTGAGAAAAGTTGTGCAGTTACTTAAATATAAATTAATGTCAGTGTTCCTACCAAATAAATGAACTGGATCAGTTTTATTATCAGCTTTGAATGTGAAGAAACTGGTTCTGCTGCTGATCTCAGTCCAGAGGAAACGTCTTCTGGATCGGCTCGTTTTTCTGTCATACTTATGACAAAAACTTCAGCAGATATTAGAAAACTTTATAATCAGGTAGTTTCTGTGGATTAAATTAGATAGTTTATAAAAATGTTTGATCGTTTCGGCTCCTGCTGGGCCTGAATCAGAACCACCAAACATTTAGTGGCTGAGGAAATTAAATATCTGATAACAGATTTTTGATTTTCTCCTTTAGATTTTACTGACCAGATTTATTTGTTGAAAAGGGAAATTTGTGATTTCACTCTCAACATTATTATAGCATTCATAAAAAGCTTTTTATCATCTTGGATGTTAATTTCTCTCTATTATTAATTAATATGTCAGTTTGCAAATGAAAACAGGAAAAGTTTCTGCCAGCAGGAAGGAGATTAATAACTTTGTCTTTCTAGAACCAAAGACGGCGACATAAAAACAGATTAGATGAACTAATCTCTGAAATAATCTCTGAACTAATCTCCGATGTATTAATCTCTGAACTAATCTTTGAACTAATCTCCGATTAACTAATCTCTGATTAACTAATCTCCGATTAACTAATCTCTTAACTAATCTCTGATTAATCTCTGATGAACTCGTCTCGTGGCGTCTCATCGCATGGCGTCGCGTGGCGTCGCGTCTGGCTGCGTGGCGCATCGCGGCGTTGGAGCCGGACTCTATTCTCCATCAGAGGCTCTTTGTCTGACATCATCCTGGTCGACTTTCTCTCCATCGCTGGATTTCTCCTGCTCACTCGCCACAGTTTAGGTTAAGAGGCTTAAAGTGGATTCTTTTTATTAGAATCGGATTTGCATTCATTAGGAGACGGATGATTAGAGAAAACTCATCTGCTGCTCCTCCTGCAGCTTTCTGACGTTCACCTGCGGAAACGTGAGATTTTTAATTGTTTTTATGTTTCTGGGACAGAAAGCTGCAGAGGAAACGGAAATAAAACAGCAGAAATAAAGAAAGGGGACAACGGATCAGCAATATTTAAAATTAGAACGTGTGTTTGGATGCGTCCGGTTTATCAGATTAAAATTACCTTTTGAAAATAATCAACTTTAAGCATAATTTTCATTAAGATTTCTGGATTAAAATGTCTCCCGAAATGTTTTTATGTGTTGAAGCAGAAACTCAATAATTACCAAATAAGTTTTGAAACATCAGCATGTGTGAGATTAGTTTATATCATGAGCTGCTGGCACAATTGAACTAATCCTCTTATTTACTAAAATGACAACATTTTGTATGAATATATGTACATACCACTGATTTGTTCATTTCGTCCTTTTTCCCAAAAATAACCCATTTTATCCCTAATATGGTTTTATATTCATTGAAATATAATTTTATTAGTGAAATTTACAAAAATTGTAGAATTATTTGCACAAAGTAAAATTAATATTTATTCAAAAGGTACAAAAGGGAACCAGAGCATGTTATTGCAGAGAAAATGATTGTAATTCTTTACTACGAGTGTTTTGTGCATTAACGGCATTTTAGTTTAATTTGTAATGTAGAAACATAATAAAAGGAAAATGTAATAAATGGAGGAAAAGGCTGAACAGAAATAAAAATCCTTTAAATATAATAATCATCCACTCCTTTTGTATTTCATTTGTTCATTAAATATAATTTTAAACCAAATAAAAGTGATAATAGCTAATGCAGTGAGTTCAGAGCAAAGTCATAAAAACCATAAACAGGATCAGATGGCTTATTAATGTCACATCAATGATTAAAAAGATAAAGTCAGGTTTCTGTTCAGTCTGAAGGTTTTCATTTAAGGCTTCAGGAGGTTTGGACCTGCTAGTTTTCTACAACTAAAGGTAACTTTGGTCAGTCCAGCCATTGTAGTGAAGAATATTTAAATGATTTAAAGAAGTTCAGAAAATGAATCTGCACAGCTGAAATAATGTCAAACATCTTGAGATGGAAACAGAAACACCTGAGGAATTCATCCTGAAGGCGTTTGGTGTTTTTCTGACCAGGCAGGTATTTATGCAGTCATTTAAGATTCTGTTCAGATGAAGTCTGTGTTGTGCAGACTAAATATTTCAGCGGTTTGGAATAAATTACAGATTACACGGCTCATTTAAAGCTTTCATGTGCAGCTCCTGAGTTTTGTTTCTGCAACAAATCTCATAACTGTTAAATATTTAGCAGAAGATGTTTTTACAGTTAGCCAACCTGCGTTTATTCCGACTCAGCAGGAAGAGACTTCAGACGCCACTAAGTGGAGATTCTGATCCGAGTTGCAGTCTTATGAATTACTTACATCTTTTCTCCTCTTTGTTTCTAAAGAGTGCAGTCTTTGTTCTCTTTTGTCCTTTTCTTTTTTAATTTAATGAAGTAATCGCAGTGATTT